GCAAATAAGGGCAGCCACATGATGGCCCTGACAGAGAAACATGCATTTGCCACCTGGTGATTTCAATTTAAACTACTTGCTTGCTCCAAAGCCACCACCTTCCCTACATCTTCAAATTGTCCAACATCTCCAGAGAATGATTTTCCCAGTCTAACTCATACTCCCCAAACAGCTGACACCCAAGCACAGCAGTCAGTGAGAAGGGTTACCCTGGGAATCTGCTTCGAGTTTCCCAGGGGAGCTGGGGAAATACATCCTGTCCAAGAAAAACGTGAGCTGCTACTGCTGCTGGAACATTTTTTATTTCTTTGAAAAATATTAGCTCTCCATTACTTGTCCTGAGCTGTAGCAACATACTCAGCTTAACAGGTCTAGGTAAAATAGGCAAAGGGCTGTTAAGGTGGAAAAAGGAACGTCATTTCTAAAGTGCTGACAAGCATCTTCTTTTTTCCCCCTGAAGTAAAAATTCAGCAGTAAAAGTCTTGGAAAGAAAATATTTCTTCTTTTTTTTTTTCTCTGTATGAACCATTTTAATATTTTTCCATGTGTTTCTGATCATCTCAGGGATATGTATAGTTTTTTCAAACTCCAGAGAGGTGAAGCTCTTGGTGAGGTAGAAATCAGCTCGATCCCAAAGGTTTTCATAACACCAAGGGATGCTTGCAGAGGCCAGTGATACTGAAGGGCAGACAGTGCTAATGTGTGAGGCCAGGCACAAACAAGTGGCAGCAATGCCATTCACTGAGAGCAGGACTGAGCTCTAGGCCATACCCAAAGGCAAAACCAAGGCAATGTTTTGCTTTGGGCTTGCCCTCAGCCTGGATCAGCCCCACACGAGGCTTCCTCTCGCCCAAAAACAAGGTGGTTTGAGGCAGGATGGACTCAGCTGGAGCCTAAGGGTTTGCTCAAGGCCTCAGAGCCCTCCCTGCCTGAAAGCACACACCAAGGCACCAGTTCTCCTCCACAGCCCTCCCCTCTGTTAGACAAGAGCTACAAAACTCACGAGGAGAGCATCAGGGGCCAGCTGATCCTGACATGACACAGAAACCTGGGATGGAGGCAGGTTGTGCTGCATCCCTCCTGCTTTTCCACGCTGTCTCAGGCAGCATAAAAGTCCTTCTTCCTTGTGTTCCTTTTAGGGAGCAGAGGGATGGGGGACTTCCACTGTGGCTAATGTCCTCTTTTCCTTCCCACATGATAGTCCTCACTCCCCTGAGGGACCCACCAGCCCTGCACCCTCGGTTTTGGGTGCTGAGCTGCTGGTGCCAAGAACAGAAAAGAGGCATTGAATCACTTGGTGTAGAGAGGCAAAACAAATTTGGACACCCCACTGATATTTTCCAAACATTTCTGGGCCCCACTGGGATGAAACCCATTGACTTCAGTGGGCTTTGGATGATTTCCTACATACACAAAAGTTGAAAAATCATGCTTTAAAAGAAATGCTGAAGTCAAATTGGGAAATTTTAATGATTGTCTTTGTATTTTAATTTGGTGGCTGTATGCTGACAATATAATTAGGGAGATGCTATGTTAATTAATGCCAGATGACATTAGTGGGATGGCAAAAGCATCCAGTTTTGTAAAGAATAGTTCACAGTTGAGTTGTTCCTTTCTCCCCACACCATTTTTAGTAGAGAACTATATTCAAAAAGTCAGAGATGGCTGAATTAAACCAAAAGTCAAACCATTCACAAATACCATGTATCTTAGCATGTTATTTTTAAGCCAAATCTAATGTTATTGCAGAAAAATGCATTAGCCATGTTTTCTTTAGTGCCTACGTGTTTAAAAAAAGAAAGAAGGTTTGCAGGACCTCGTGCTATTCTTGTGTTTGAAGCAGGTAGTGGCCAACCAAGTTGCCACTGAAGCAAATGGAGCAGGACCTAGGCTTGTGCTTTACACAGCTGAGGGTTTGAAATGTGATTTTTGGGTTTGTGTTTGTGGATTTCTTGGGGTCCATCCAATAATTTGAAAAAGAATTGCAATGATGGAGCAATACACATTCACGTTCAGCGTGAGCCCAGACATGCTGTATTCATATTCTGGGTGAGTTCAGCTGCTTTACACTTCAATCTATACATGTAAAATTACTGGAGCCCCCCAGACCACTCCAGGAAATTTGACAGGGCATTAAAGTCACTATCTCATGAGAACTATAGCCTTTATTTTAATATAAGCCCATATATTCCAAATTGCACATATAGATATTTATCTATGGATGCAAATATTTATATGTTTAAGTCGACTGTATAAATGTCTTGTAGATCCTGTCTTGAGTAGAGTTAGCGAGTTAAAAGTCTTGGGGAATATAATTGTATCCTGCTGTGTCAGCAGACAAAAAATTGCAAGCACATTTGTACTGTTCTAAATAGAACTTAAAATGAAAAAATCTTCTGTAGGTGATCTCAACAAGAGAGCAGCAGAAGGAAGTTGGCAGTACTTCCTTAAAAGTCTTAATTTTCCTGGGGGGGAGAAGAGGCAAAGGTAGAACCTCAAGGCTAGCATATCCCAAATGGAGGTATCACTACCACCCTTGGCCTATCTAAAAAAAAAATTCCTTTTACTAATATTCCTAATTCACAGCAGGCAAACCTGAAGCTGCACAAAACCCACTCACCCTTCTGTGCTAACACTACACTAGCTTTGCATCTGCTTTGCATAGAGTTCAATGCCAGGAAAATCCACAGGAAAATTAACTCTTGTCCCAGCTTGTCTGATGCTCTCTGCTAACAAGGAAAGCTTATTATTCATCCCCAGGCTGGAGCTGAATTTTACATGTCCTGCCCCCCCAGCCCGCCACTGCTGACAGGTGAGGAATGCTCCTATAGTCTCAAAGTGAAAATGTCTGAATTTATTGCATCATGTTTAGGAACAGGCAAATCTGTGGGATTGTACTTGGCCTAGTGCTCGATATCATAAGGGAGGCATCTTGTTGGAGAAAGGAGCTGTGACTGGTGCTGTCCTCAACGTTCCATACCTGTAGAGGATCCAGAAGACAGGGACTGGAATATTTTATTGCCATTGTGAAGAAACCTTTGAATTGAAAATATGCTTTAACTTAACAGGAGTATGTAGCTGCAGCACACTGAAGTGTTCTGGGATCTGAGGGTGTGCATTGTCTTTGCACGTGTTCAGAATCCTCTGTGCAAATTACCCCAGAGAAACAGTCACTAAAATGAAGATGGAAACTTCCACAGAATCTAAGAGGTTTTCCGTCACTTGTGCTGACTATCACCAGCTTTCATATCAATGCAGTGAATGGGCTGGCACTTAATGTTCTTGATCAGCTCATTTATTTGATCTGTTTTCAAACCACTCTACACATGAGCATGAGAAGATATTTTCAAATTAAATGCAAATACAGCAAAAAGCAGTTTCGTAATAGATATTTATAAACAAAATCTGTGCACAAGAAAAGCAGCTTTGCATTCTGCTTTTTCCAGAATTCTAACAATTCATTTTCCCTCCTCGTGACACGCAAGAGGATTGTTTGCACATTTCACTGAGATCCTATGGAGATAGGACAGCACAAGCTGTCATCAGGACCTGAAGTTTTTACGGAGAAGGTTCTGCCAACAGCAGCTGCTCTCCGGATACTCTTCTGATCCCAGCTGTGGCTGTGTGGGTTCAGGCTTTCCCACATCCCAAGCTTGTGGTTTTACCACCAGGCTACTTGTTCTTTGAAAGCAAGTCTGACTTTCGGGTTTTACATCTGCTCATGTGAGGCAGCCTAATTAATAACCCTGATTTGTGAGATGATCTCATGTTACTCTGTCACATGGATTTTTGTGAGGGTTTGGATTTTTTTTTATTATTGCGGCTATTGGGAAACAACCAAATAACCTTTAACACAAAAATTACTAGGTTACTGACACCTAAATTTGTGGGAGGGGTGAAATGGGGATCATAAAGAGTTTCCTATCCCTGGCAGTGTCCAAGGCAAGGTTGGATGAGACTTGGAGCACCCTGGGATAGTGAAAGGTGTCCCTGCCCATGGCAGGGGGTGGGACTGGATGATCTTTAAGGTCCCTTCCAACTCAGGCCAGTCTATGATTCTCTATTTCAGTTACAGGGAGTTATGATTTTAGCCTTTTAGTACGAAATTATGTTTTTCTGTGCATCTGTTAACTTGTTAAAAAACCCCAAACAGAGCGTTTATTAATTTCATTCAGATCTAAAAATCAAACCTTGCATTTTATTTTGAAAGCTGACCACCTTTATTTGGTTCGATAATGGATAAAACTGCTCCTCACGTGTAACCAGGCGATGCCTGTCCGGGCAGCCCAGACATCCCCTCAGGATGAGCCTGTCCTGGGCTTTATGGTGGCTCTTGTGCCTCTTCCCCTCCAGGTCCCCACGGGCACTGAGGGAAGGGGGAAACGGTGAGGAAATGCTGGAATTGTGCACATTTCCCTTCACCGCCCTCCAGCACGCACTTCCCGGACGGATCCTTCCCAAAGGTCTCCTCCAAGCCTCTCCCCGATGGACGGGCCCTCACTGGGGCGCCTGGTGCCGCCTCCCTGCTCCAGCAGGGCCATCCCGGAGCACAGGACACTGGATCGTGTCTAGACGGCTCGGGAATACCCCCCGAGAAGGAAATTCCCAGCCTCTCAGGGCAACCTGTGGGAGTGGTTTTTCCTCCTGTGCAGATGGAACTTCTGGGATCACTCCCTGTTCCTCTGGTGCCATTGCTGCGCCCTCAGAGCAGAGCCTGGGCCCTGCTCGGAGCCCTCCCTGCAGCCAGCGCTGAGGGCCCCTGTCGAGGCTGACCAGCCCCAGCTCCCTCAGCCTTCCCAGTCCCTATAAGATCTCGGCTCCATGAGCTCGCAGGCTCCCTCCCGCCGAGGATCCCAGCGCTGCGCACGGCAGTGGCCGGACGCCGCCTCGAACCCGCGGCCCGCGCTCGGCAGCGGCAGGGCGGTGCCGGCGCTGCCGCAAGGGGCGCTGGAGCGCCGAGCGCATCGATCGCGACCGTCCATCCGCGCATCGGTGCTCGGCTCCCTGGGCAGCGCCCGCCCAGCCCTGCCCGTCCCCCGCCATTTCGCACCGGGACGGGAAGGGAAGGGACCCGGAGCGGGAAGGGAAAGCTGAGGGGAGGAAGGGACGCGACTCGGGCACGGCGGGTGCCGGGAGCTCCCGCGGCACGGCCAGCCAGGTACCGCCTCTCCCCACCCCGCCGAGCCGGGGCGTCCCTCTTCCTTCCTCGCTTTCCCTTCAAGGTGGGAAGCGCAGTCGGCGCCCCTTTCCTCCGCTGTCGCCGTTCCCCTCCCGTCCCTTTCCCTCTCTTCTCTCCCGCTGCTCCCGCCGGCATCCCCCGGAGCCGCATTCCCGCTCCTTCCCGGCGGGAGGGGACAGGTGGCCAACGCCCTGCGGGACCCGCCGCTCGCCCGAGACATCCCCCAGCCCTCACGGATTTATTTTTTTTCCCCCTCAGCCCTTCTCGCAAATCCTTAAACCCGGAAAGTTGTGGCGGCGCGGGCGCGGCGCTGGCGGGGGCAGAGGGAGCCGGGGCGGGGCGGGCGATGCCCCGGGAGCCGCGGGGGTCCCGCAGGCGCGGCTCGCCCGGCAATTAAAAATTGATGGAACCCACCCTGAACAGCGCAGGGGAAGCCGGCGGGGGAAGCCGTGCTCGCCGTGTCTCCTGTCCGGACGCGGGAGGCGCGTTCCCGGCTGTGAGCTTCATCCCGAGGGCGGCTGGGACGCTCCGGGAAACCCGGGCGGGCTCGGCGAGGCGCCGGGAACTAAATCCCCGCACGGGTTAATTCCCTGCACGAAATACTCTTTGGACTTTTCCTGGAATTCAGTGCCTTTTAAATTTATTTAGTGTGGTGGGTTTTTTTTGTTTTTGGTTTTTTTTTGTGTGTTTTTTTTTTGTTTTGTTTTGTTTTTGTGTTTTGTTTTTTTTTTTTTTACTTATTTCGTGTTCTTTTAAATCTCGGTGTGACCGCTGCCTGTCGGCCGAGTGCCCGCTCTACATTCCCTGTGTGTGTAATGTTGGAGGAACAGCATTCCCTCATCCCTTTTTGTCTTGTCTTGCAGGGAGGGAGCTGCTTCCCGGTAATAGTAGAGGATCCTGACGCTGAATGAGAAAGCACCGGCAGCATCCTCGTTGCCCAGCTCTGCTTAATGTTGGTTTCTTTGTCATCAGGTCTGCTAAAAAATGACAGAGTATAAACTTGTGGTGGTTGGAGCTGGTGGTGTAGGCAAGAGCGCCTTGACAATACAGCTAATCCAGAATCACTTTGTGGATGAATATGACCCCACAATAGAGGTAAACACTTCCGTCTCATACTTTTTGTGAGGGGAGATTATCAGTGCATAATGGTGCTTGTATCCTTTTGGGTACTTACCACAAGGACAGGGCTTTATAGTAAAAAGAGCTCAGAGATAATGTTCTGCATTGGAGACAGAATTGCTGTGCTTTTTGATCTGGCTGTGGAACAACAGCTGCAGTAATAAATTGGCAGTTTTGATCAATTAAAGGCATGGTGTTAATTGCTATGTATCCTTGGGCAGTGTGGATGCGTGTGTTTAGGATCTCTATGACGAAGTATTTGCAAACTCACTTGAAAATGCTTGGTGAAACTCTGCATAGCTTTGTGCAACCTCTTTAATGGGACATTTTTTCTTTGATAAGAAGGAAAATTAGTGGTTATGAAATGTGTGTGCCAGTCTTTCTCAGCTCCTATCACTGGGATATGTTTCACACGGGGGGAAATGTGTCCTAGGATGTTGCAGTGAATGAAGCAAAAATTGGAGCCTGTTCTGTTTTGGTTTTTCACTCTTTAAACACACCAGTACGTGTTTTCCTATCTAGAGAAGATGTTATAAGATAGCTTCTGGAATGGGTTCTTTGAAATACATGGCTCAGTACCTCAAAGTTTGAAATTGTATATAATCTTAGAAGTTGTGCTGTTTTGAAGGTTTATAATGAGCAGGCAAGCTTTGCCTTTTAAATACAAGGAAAATACTGGTGTTGTCTGAAATCTCCTGTGGATCATTGCATTTAACAACCTCAGACTCTATAAAAGGAGAAATGACACCATAACTTACCCCAGGTTTTTATGTTCCCAGCACTGAAGCTCTGCATCTCATGACTTCATTTATATGTTTATCCAGCAAGGCACTTCCAGGCTCACTTGAAGGAATCACAAGGGTTTAAATCTGGGCTTAAAATGGAGACTTGGGAAGTGTGTAGGTAGTGATTTTCAGGGAGACATAAGCAGGAGGAGCCAGTGCCCTGAGGTAGCACAAATTTAGTGAGGGCCTGAGCTCAAGCAGAGATGTGTTGACTTGAGGTTCTTTCCATGTGTCTTCTTGTCTGTCTCTTGCATGGCCAAATAACATCTTTCTTGCAGGAGGTTTTGTGACTAGACCTGTGCAGAAAACTCTGTTTGACTTACACCAGCAGAGCAGCTCTTTCTACACTAAGATAGAAAGTCTTAACAACCCCAAACACTCTTTAAAATCACACCAAACTTGCTGAGAAGAACAAGCCAAATGGTTTTTTACTTTTTCCTGCAAAAGGACCTTTGGAGGCTGTTGGTCTTTGATGCTTTTTCATAATTACCTGGGTTTCTCTTAGGTTAGAGGTGTATTTTAAGCACTGCAGAAAGTGCTGTGCCGGTTCCATTTTATAAATTGTCACTGTGTAAACAATTTGGGAACACAGAAGCTTAAATGCCAGTATTCCTGGAGCACTTAAGGGATTTTGCTATTCCACCAACTGAGTGATTTGAAGGGCATTAAATACATTTTTAATGTAAAGTAATAAAATGGAAATACAGTTACTTAGAGAATGAACCTGAAAATCCTAGGACTGTGTCTTTATTAATGGAATTATAGGCTGGTTTGAGTTGGAGGGGACCTTAAAGATCATTTTGTTCCCATGGGCAGGGACACCTTCCACAAGACCAGGGTGCTCCAGGCCCTGTCCAACCTGGCCTTGGCCATTTTCAGGGATGGGGCAGCCACAAATTCAGTGCTGTGGTCCGGAATCCCTGTGTTCTTTAAGAATTACACCAAGTTAACCTAATAGGTTTCTCCAGCTTGTCACATGTAGCGACTTTCTGCACCTTTTAGAAGTTGTAAATTCTGAGTGTGCTCACATGTGGGTAAGCAATAACTCAGTGCCAACGAGGACAGGCTGTGATTTGGAGTGGCAAACAGAAATAAAAATTGGATTTAAATGCTCCAGTTCATGCTTGGGCAGGATCCACTTGGTTGAGGAGGGTTGGTGATGGTGCTTCCTGTGTAGGTGCAGTTGTGATGCTGATCAAAGAACAATGGCTGTGGAGTGGGTTTTAGGCCATATGAGGAGATAAGGCTAAAATTGCCCTGACTGGTAAATAATTAGGATAGTTCAGTGGTGTCACTAGTGTTGTTTGCCACTTACTACTGTTTCTTTCATTGCCATACAACAGAACACTCATTTTCCCTGCAGATAATGAAGCTAAATATTTGGTAAGATAGAGAAGATAGCTTAGTGTTTGTTGTCCATGATATATTTCATAACAACACAGTTACTGAATAATTCTAAATATTTCCTGTGATTAACTGAATGAAACTCCATACTTTTAAAATTCTCATGTTGTGAAGACAGGGTATGGTGCAGCAGAGGAAAAAACACACTAATTACTTAATCACAGGTGCCTTTACAGTGTTAATTTTGCTGCTGTTTTTTGGTGGAATAAACCTAATGATTCAACAAATAACCTGCTTGCAAAAGTCAAGTTTCAGGGCCTGCTTGAGTGTTTTATTACTTAAATCTGAGCACAGCAGATGGCAGGGCAGGGGGAGGGCTGAAAATGAGTGTTTGGATGGCTGCAGTTGTTCAGCTATCGATGCTTTATGTGTGTTTCACAGTCCAGTGCTTTATTTGAAGGAGATGTCCGAGCAAGGATTTACAGCCAAGTAATTTTAAGTGTTTTATTTTAAATTAAATGGGCAGCAACCGTTGTAAATCTGGCCTGAGCTGTTGGGGCAGTGCCCTCTACCGGCCGAGGCTGAATAAATATTGCTTGTGCTCACTGGAATTTTCTTTCATTCTTTAGCTTTTTTACATTTTCAGGCCGTTTCAACCCTAAATTTGTGTCGTCTTTAAAACGTCCCAGAGTAAAAGCAGCTTTCCTAGCTGCTTGTCAGAGGTTTTGAAATTGGATTAGCCAAATCCTTCGGCTGATTTAGGAATACTGATATTTAATTCCGTGTTCTTAAATGACCTGTGCCCTCGTGAAACAAGCACCAATATTTAGTAATAGCTTAGTCTCAGGAGCTGTGATATTTTAGCATTAAATCTCTGGTATAATGGAGTTTTGTGGAATAATTATTACTTGCCTAGATGGGATTTATTAAGCACTAGGGTTTTTTTAGAAAAATTCTGTATGTAGTGTGAAGCTGAGATTTCATATCACCTATTCTTATCAGTGCTTGTGAGCAGATGGAATTATTGCTCCTTTTACATAATTCTTGCTGTTTTTTATGGCTTGTGAAAGACCAACAAAAGCAGGTTAAGTGATCAATGAAATTTTTAAAAGTTACATATTGTATACTAGGGAAAAACTGGAATTTCACGTTTGAAGCTGGATGGGAATTGGGAATTAATCTTCTAGTTTGCATCTTGTTTTTAATTAATAGTGTCAAATGTGAATTTCAGATAGTATGTTTTGCAAGGTGGAGGAGAAAAAAGGCCAAAAATAAAAATATTTATTATTTCGCTCATCTGGAAATCATAAGTTTCAGTTTTCTCTCCCACATCTTTCTTTTCCTTCTGCTTCAAATCCTCTCACTAGATAGTCACTGAGATTTTCTCCCCAGAACTGGCAAAGCAAATTAGCACCTCAAAATAGTAATTTTTGTATCTGTGCTGTGCTTTATGCTGGTGCATCTTTGCTGCTACTGCTAACATGGTAGGCAGTTCTCAAAAGCGATTTTCTTTTCTCTTAAAAATTTTTTTCTTTGATGAAAATTACTTAAAGCTTTTGTTTAGCATTCAGTTGAGGGGAATTTCTTTCCCTTTGAAGTCCTTAAGATGCGAAGGAATAGTACAGGCTTTTCAAGAACTGCTTTTCATATTTTTGAACTGGCAGTCAAATTGCAAGAAGAGAAAATGCAAGCTTTGTAAATATGTCTGGTGTAATGCTAGAAGTTCTGCTAGTTCTGTGATAAAGGTATCCTAGGACATGGGGGATCTGCTCTTGAATGGAAGTGTTGGAATGAAGATGCATCCTTAGGTGTGGGGGTTTCTTGTAATTTTTCTTCCCTTTAAGCAGCAAGAGAGAATATTAACTTTATTTTAAAACACTTTGGAGCACGTGTGTTTCTCAGCTGTATCAATATTTAAACATGGTTTGTAAGTTTCTGAAGTAACTTCCCCACATATTATTACCCAAACACTGAATTTGCACTTCTGTGAAGTAAATAGTCTCAATCACGTTGGAGGCAAACTTCTGTCTTTAAGGTAAACATTAAGTATTGTTTTACCTGATTTTGTGAGCCTAGATGACATTTAACAGTAAATGTGACGTTACAGAGTTGGTTTGGTTTAAAATACTTTTTTTTACAATTATCTCCTGCTTGTTTCTTAGCATGAGCAACAAGAAAGAAGAGAGTATTTTGTAAAATTAAAAATGGATAGAAATTGCCTAAGAGTAGGTGTACTGTGCCCTGAAATGGGTACAAAGAAAGGAAGGTTGTTCAGAATTCACCTTGCAGCTGGCTAGAACTGCAGTTTTTAATTCTTTCCTTCCCTTCCCAGTAGCCTGGGTTCAGTCGTGTGCAGTGTCAGAGCAGCAGCAATGTTGTGTTAATCTTGAGCTAAGGAAGCTGAAAGCTGACAGCAGGAGCTTGTGTTCATACCTGTTATTTGTTACAAGAGCTGCTTACTGGGAATAATTCATGGTGCTCATTGATAGCACCTTTTCCAAGCTCATTGCTGTGGCTTTATTTCAAACACAGAGGTGTTTATAGAAATTATTGGGTGTGTAATGCTCACCTTCTGCTAAAGCTGTGTACTCATAGAGGCCCAGCACCTAAACAGGGATGTAATGAAATCTAGCTGGTGGGACTTTGTACAAGATTTTAGCCACTTGAGTCAGTGACCTGAAAGCTTTGATTTGGTAGCATTGAAATAATTTGTTCTGACATCTCTGAACCAGCCCATCAGGTTTTTAATGTGGCTCTGTTGGTCTGTCCTGCCTGAAAAGCTTCAATTTCAAATATATCAGCTCAGCTTTGATAACTTAATAACAGATATCATTATACAGACCTGCTCAGGTATACAAAACAGATTTCCTGTCTCAAAGACTGAAGGCTTTTTATTCTTCACTTCCTTTTCAGTGGCAAAAATTTTTGGAGTTGTCTTACTTGTGTGTTCTTTCTGGTTTATTATTTTGTGCATTCTTGTAGCATGGAATGAGGGACAAACTGTAGTTCAAAAAACAAAATTAGTAGATTTTATTTTATTTAAATTAAAATTTTATTTTATTTAATTAGCTAGCTTAAGCATGGTCAGACCTTTTCAGTCACTCTTATTGCTGGTAAATCATTTGATTTTCTCCAGATTTACTGATGCTCAAAACCTTACCTGTTTGTGGCTAACCAAGGTGTATTTCTTCCCTAGGATTCCTACAGGAAGCAAGTAGTAATTGATGGAGAAACCTGTCTCTTGGATATTCTTGATACAGCAGGTCAAGAAGAATACAGTGCAATGAGGGACCAATATATGAGAACAGGGGAAGGCTTCCTGTGTGTGTTTGCCATAAACAATACAAAGTCTTTTGAAGATATTCACCATTATAGGTGTGTATATGAAGAGATAACCCCCCAGCTCTTGTTCTTAGGTGGGAAGGGGGCTTGTTCTTCCTCTGCATAATAGAGTGGTCTCTCATGAAGTAGGGAAAATCTGAAAATTAACAATATTGCAAGTTATTTGTGCATCCTATTATTTGAAATTTTGTGTGATCTGAAAATCTGCCTTGCTCATAAATGAGGTGTAAATTATTGTGACTTAGTATTTTGAGTCAAGACTTACCCAAAGATAAATTCTGTCCATTCCATTGATAATATTGTTTATTAAGATGAACAAACTGAAGCTGTTGTAATTGTACAGACAATATTGTCAATTGCTGGTTTTGTTTGGGGCTGCAGGGGGAAATACCTGGGGAATGTTGTGAAAAGAATAACCTGTGTGAGCCCTGCTGCCTGAGGACAGACACACAAAACCTCCAAAATGACAGTAAAAATCAACTTGTTATTAATTTCTTCATATTATCTTCTTTTAAATAATTAGTTAAGAATTCCAACTCATGCTTTCTTTGTCAACTACACTAATTTAAAAATAGAAGCAGTCTCTGGTGATTACCATAGCAGACCATTTATAACTTAGTACCTTACTGTTATCCTGAATTCTCCCTGGGTGTTCTATTAGACGCCAGTGCAATTCCCACCATCAGCATCAGCCTAAGTTTAGTCCAAACACGTGTTAATCTATCCACAATTAGGTAGTAATAATAATAATAATATCTCAAATGCATTTCCTCTAGGTTTAGAGGAGGAAGGGGAAAAGGCAACAAAGATGTTGGTGTAAGGGCAGGAAGGAGCATAGAGGTTTTCATGAGGAATTTTTGTTTTTAAAGAGAGTTGCAGATTTGCATAAGACCTTCACAGTTTATTTCAGAGAGTGTTGGGAGTCGAGTGCTGGAATTTCTTCTGTGCATTGACAGACCAGTGGGTGGCCTTCCAGGCTTGAAGCTGAACCATTATAAGGAGCTGGAAACAGTGTCTGTTTTAATTAAGGAACACACTGCTAGATTATTTGGGAAGGCAGAAGTAATGAAATTAATGATTTTTATTCAAGATAAGTACATCTTTCAAGATCTTGTCTAACTAATGCTTGGAGGGACTCTTACCAAATATCTCTCTGTAGAGACCAGACCAGTGGTCTTCAGAGTTTTAAACCCCCTAAGTGCAGAATTTTCAATGCTGTCTTTACTTAAAGAACAAAATAAAATCACAACCTTCCCCCCCCAAAACCAAATCAAAATCAAGACAGCAGACATAGAGTTTTGGCAGTTTTTTGGCAAATTAATTGAGTGTTGAATATGACAGGTAATTAGTAAGATTAATACCAAAATTTGTTAAGCTTATTCTGATATTAGCTGCTAAAATGTTTAAAAAATATTTTAAAAAAAACAGTGTAATGACATTAACCTCTATAGTAGTTTGTAAAATGTCAGGCTTTTGGTTGATTGGTTTGGTTTTGTTTAATAAAATGCTAAACTTCATGGTGACAGGATTGGTCAATTTATTGTTTCGTGGCTTCCCAACAGTGCATGTGCAGTAGATTAACATAAAGAATGATGTTTGACTCTGTTAATTTAATGTTGTAACTGGTTTTAAATGTACTATATAAACTACTAATATTAATACTTGTTAAATACAGTCTTGTCTTTTTCTTTGTTTTTAGGGAACAAATAAAGAGAGTTAAAGACTCAGAAGATGTCCCGATGGTGCTAGTAGGAAACAAATGTGATTTGCCTTCCAGAACAGTAGACACAAAACAAGCTCAGGATTTAGCAAGAAGTTATGGAATTCCTTTCATTGAAACATCAGCAAAGACAAGACAGGTAAAGCTCAAAACTTCCCAGATGCAAAGGCAGAGCTCTCACCTGAATTACCATGTTAATTATTCCAGGCATTGACATTTGCTTAGTCATATCAATGGATGCATTTCTGGAGATTGGAAATCCTTGGGGTGTTTCTCCTTTCTGTCAACTTGCTTATAATTAGTAATTGTTTATTGATGAGTGATTGATTGGCTTCAAGTGGGCAGACTCAGAGTGAGACCTGCCCTGCTGTTGCTCTCTTCTGTCAGGTGGTTGCAGCATTCTTGACTTTGTGAGAGGTTTTAATAGAATAAAAGCACTTCTGCTTAGAGGTGAAATGGTTTTTTTTCCCTTCAGCGAGAGGATTAAACAGGCAAGCAACTAATTAGTTTATTTTGATTTAAGTGTTTTCATTAATAACAAAGGAATTTTTCCTTGAGGCATTGATTCTTTAATTAGGGGGACACGCTTGATACACCTAAGCAATTGACCTTAAGGTATTTCTGAAGTTCCTGTGTTAGTTGTCAGAGTAAAACAATAATTTTCCTAAGACTTTAGAGCTCACTCTTGATTTATGGTAGCACATGGTCCTTTTAGTGCCTCTCTTGGGCTGTGTGAGGACACAGGTGACAGAGTGGCACATCTGAGCTTTCAGGAGAAGAGAAACTCTATGGATACAAGTGGAACTGGTTCAGTCCTTCTAGAAGAAAGTGATCTTGAAAAATGCTGTTTGGTGTTTTCTCTTTAAAGAGCAAAGATTTTACTGTCAGTACAAATTAGATGAGGCCTGAGTGGGTCCTACTCTGCATAATCAGAAGTGTTATGTGCAGGTTGTGAGTCAGAAATTCAGGAGGTAAATAAGGACAGAATCCTGCAGTTGGAGTAACTGCTCAGAATTTCTGTAGAGATCCAGCTACATCACTTGGCAGAATTTCCTCATAGCTTGTAAGGCATTTTTGGATCTGAGAAATGAATATTTTATTAGTGTAAATTTGCTCTACCCACCCAAGTTTTTGACAAGTTGAAACCTGGGCTAATTAGTAAAGCTTCACAAAGCAATGCTGACTTCTGGCAACAAAGGAAGTCTCTGTTAGGTAGAACTGAAAAAAACAAAGCAGAATTACCAAACTTGAATGACTGGGAATAAATTAGGCCACACAGTTGTCCTGAAGAAGGGGGTATATGAGTGGACTGAATAATTACAGTGTTTGTAAGGTGCCGTATTAGTAGCTGTCATGGAGATAGGAGGATGAAAAAATAACTCTGAAATTACATTTTAGGTTTGAAACAACAGAAGTGCAGTACCAACACAGGTTTTACTTTGTTCAGTCTGTCTTATACAGCATTAGGTTTTGTTGGGGAAATACTCCTTTTGCATAGCCACTTCTATTAAAAAGGATATTTGAAAACAAAGATGTCCAGTAGACTGTTTAGAACCTGTTGGATTTGAAAAGTTGGCACCACTAGGGAGGCTGCTGATTCTTTTCTAGTGCAGTTCTGAGCTTGTTGTGCTATGAAATTCCTTCATAGGATGCCATGTAAAGAAAATACTTTTGAGAAGAGAAAGAACTGGAATTTAGTTATAGCAAAAGGATCTAAATATTTGTGTATGTGATTGTATATACATGTGTGTGTATGTGCATAGAATGATTTTTCAGTCACACTGTCATATATATAAATATACATATAAAAATATATATATATATATATACACACACACATACACACTGTCTTGAAAAGTGATTTTAAATTAGGGGAGTCAGACCATTTTGTGAGTTGCATATGGCCCATGGGCTATAGTTTTATTCACTCTTAATGTAAAAGTCAATATATAAATAAAACTCTGGTCCTCTCTGTCCTCATTGAGACCTTCCAAGTATGAACAGATGTAGCTGGTGGTCTTCTGGAGTCTGTGGAAACTCTGTCATGAATCTTTTGAAGTAGGAACCTTCTTTTCCGTTCGTATCTCACCTTCCACCACATGGAAATATCATCACTAAGGCCCTGCTGAATTTTCCTGCCTCTGCCCTTTCCTGTGCCCAGTTCTGCTGGAACTCAGACAGAATCAGAAATGTTTCTCAGAAAGAAGCTGGGAAGGTGGAAATAGGAGGGAGTTGTCAGAATAGACTTTTTTGATTGCCAAGACACTTTTTAAAAAGGATGGCATTGCATGCTCATGCAGGATGATGCCTCAGTTCAAGTAAGTTTTTAAGATTTTCAAAAATTCATAGGCAAGGACAGAAAAGAGAATATTGAAATGAAGTACAGAAATAAGTTGTTCTAGAAGTTAGTGTGTTTGGGTTCTGACTGAGAATAAGGATGTGAACTTCAACTCACAGCAAGGAGATTGTGTTTTAAGCCAAATCCCTCTGTGAATTTTCAGACAAATCACTGAATTCATCAGTGAAACCTTATAAGGCTACAGATTATTAATATTTTCAATTGGACCACTGACTAAAATCAATAGAATGTAATCCATGGAAAATAGCGACAGTCCTGTTTCTGAATGTAAGCAAGTGGCAGTACTGGTGGTTTTGTAAGGCCATGGGCATTTACTCATGCTTTCACAAATCCTTATGGAGAAGGGGGTGAATGGCTTAGGTTTATTTTTATTGCAGATTTTGCTTTTCTCTGTTTGACATATGTGTTATATTCAGGTTCTTCCCTGTCTACATGAGCATGTAGCTCCCAATATTATAAATAATACCAATGAGAGTTGAGGGACAAATTCAGTTTATTCCCACCAAAGCTGCACCTGCCATTCTTTACTGGGCTTCCCCTTGCCTGGGAGTTACACAGGGCAAAGCTGTAAGGCCAGACCACCCCAATGTGGTTTGACTGTAGGGCTTTGTTTCCCTTGGAACATTCCAGCTTTCCTGCTGGTATTGGATTCACAGGAAAAGCAGATCAATGAGCATTATTGCAAGCATAGTAGAGGGTTTCCCACAGTTTGAGGTCTCATTCTTTAGAATACATGCTTAAACACACTTTTGAAGTGTGTAGTGAAGAAGTTGACCTAAATTAGCAGAATGCTGTTAAAAAAAGCATTTTGGTTATTTCAGCTGTCTGGTGTACAGTGGGTTAGACCCCAGCCTTGTGATCAAACTGATTTGAGAACCTGTGCCTGGTCTGGTGAAGTAACTGGGGCTGTATTTGCAGAAATTCATTCCTGCATCTCAGTTAAAATTAATGGTTAACTGATAACTTAGTTTGCTTGAAACATTTTTAGGGGTTTTTCTTATCTGTTTAATAATATTGTATCAATCCAAGCCATTTTTAATCCAGCTCTTGTGTATCGGTTTTATCTTAAAGCTTTGTTTTCAATGAGCTTTAACTTGGTCAGACTTATTACACTGTGAGTTGAGTTTTTTCATGTCACTTGTCTGTTCTAAGGTAGAACTTTTCTGGAAGAGCTTGGTCCTCCCCCAAGGACAAAGCTCCAAGAGAAGAAAGTTTTGGTGGCTTTTAGGAGATCAGCTGTGATTGAGTGTATAAGGATGCGCACAGAACAGTTCAGAGTTGTTAGGGCTAACGTTCATCAGGTTCCTTTAAGTACTGCAGAAATGGAACTTGTGAAAATTCCTGTTTAGGATACTTTTGTCTGGGTTTGAAACAGTCTTTCTTTGCACATGGTCATATTTTAACTCGAGTGTGTAAAAGCACCTCAAAAACATTGCCTCAAGGGTCTGGGTTCCTCAGGTTGTTTAGATTTTCAAGTTTTTAGTAATTGGCAAAGGTATTTTTGCTTCCTGCTCTGACAGCTAAAATAACTGGTTAGTCCCATTTTATTTATATGGTCATTGCTTATTGAAGGAAAAACATACTAGAGAGTCTTAAATTGGTATTAAAATTACTTAAGTTTGTAGGATTGGCATCTGGCCCTTTAAAGTGTCACCGTGTGCTAATGATCTAAGCAATTATGTGTCTGCACTGATTTTCTTTCAGAATAATCTCTTTCAGCAGGGCTCATGAGTCTATTCTTGGTGGTGGCCGTAATAGCAATTTCTTTTTTCACTCTATGTCTCTTCATCTCTCTGCATTGCTAAAGCAAATTCCAGCTCCTACTGGTGATGGGAAAGTTGACAATAAATGTTGACTCAACAATTGTTACCTGATTTTTAATATGAAAGCTCCATAATCAAATTACATATTTCTACTGTAAAACAGCAGATTTGCAAAAATGTTGATTTTTGTACAGCCTGTGCTTTGGCACATAGCAGCTGATCAATGTTTGCTATTTCCACTTCAGAAAGAAACTTCCTTCCAGAAAAACATGGAAGTATGAGCTTTACTTGGATTTTGCCTGGTTTGGTGGCTTTCTTTACATTTTTCAATCTGTCAGACCTGGAATATAAAACTTATCCATACTTCACTATGTCATAAGAGGGCACATTATGTCATAATACAGAGAAATACAATCCAAGAAATAAATCTAATTCATTTAATCTTCACATTGAAGAGGCTGTAGTTGAGAAGAATTCTCAGCTAAGCAGCAGTTTGTTAAAAATAAACATTCAATGTGATAACCTGTGGCACAGGTCATGCAAAATGACCCAGTAATTGTGGCAGTAAATGCTCACTGGCTTTTATTATTCAGTGTATACTACAAAGATGAAATGGAGAGAGGATTTATGGAAAATCTGCCAAATAAAAGCCCAGACTGTCCATTGGTAGAAATAAAGCTTTGAGGCTTAAGTAGTCATGCTGCTTACCATGATCATCATTGTGTTCTGGTTTTAATTTCAAATTATGAGTTTGTACTAAATTAATAGCCCTGTTAATCTGATTGAGGAGACAAGTACTGAGATTGCTAGTAAGGCAGAGAAGAGATTTGCTCTCCTCTTGAAAAGCTTTAGTGGAACGTTTTTCATCCTGTTGTAATAAGAACATCCTCACAGATTGATCTAAATTCTTAAATTTGTGCACAGATACACTAATTTTGAAATATTGTAACTTGGAGTTGCTGCTGTATCTTTTTATATTATATTTGGTTAAAGATGTCTTCAGTCTCCATACATTTT